ATGTTTTTTTTAATATTGAATCTTCAAAATATAATGTACAATTTCATAAACTTCAAATATTGCACTAGTAATATTTTTTAGAAATTTAGGCATGATAAATTTCAAATAATATTAGATAATTTCAAGGATATCTAATAATATTTTTTGCATCTTTAGAATATATTGAATCTTAAAGACAGCCTTATTATAAAGTCTTTGTAGTTTAAAATTTGGGATTCTCTTAAATATACGATAAGTTTCAAACATTACATTAAAGTATTTCGAATAAAGTGCAGTACTTTAGAATTTGAAGATGTAATATACCCACGTAAATTGCTTATAAAAAAATATCAACACAAGAGAAGCCAATAAAATTTTTACTAATCTGCTGCGATACAGAAAATCGACTAAAAAAAGAAAAAAAAGGACAAAAAATTCGCGATCGAGAATGTGAGACCGCATTCTCCGATTCGTACAAAATTCCTTCGGTTTGCATAACTTCGTTCGAATGTTGAAAATAATGTTCAAGCAGTAGCAGCAGAAGCAGAAGCAGCAATAATGCTTGTCGACTTCTACGTCATCTTTTCTTTTTCTCGTGCCGCTTTATTAGCTCAGATATTAGCTAAGATATCTCAACGCTACTCGCAATACGTTGAATTAAGATTAATACACACCGGTCTCATAAAATTTATCAATTTATTCAATTATAATTTATATACACAAATAATAATAGTAATAATATCACTTATAACAATTTTTATTTTCTGAAGAAAATTTTTTTTAAATAAATTGTAATATATATTCAGCAATTTTATTATTGTAAATTGTATATATTATAATTGTTATTATTATTGTATTGGTATTTAATATATAATTTTATACATATATTAATACAATTATTTATTATATATTATTTTTTTATATAATAGATTATTTATATTATATTAATATAATATATATAATATTATATTAACAAATAATAATATATTCTTATATAAACATAATTATTATTAATATTAGTATAAATATTATACAAATTATTTTCAATTATATGTGCACTAATATTAGCAATAATAATGGTTTGTAATAATTTTTATTTTTTGAAAATAATTTTTGGAATAAATTGTGATATTTAGCAATTTTATTATTTTGTCAATTATATATTATTTATTATTATTATTATTATTATTATTATTATTATTATTATTATTATTATTATTATACATAGCTATATGAAAATAATTAATCAACGGTTAAAATACTCAAAAAATAAGTGAAATCCCGATAAATAAATAACCTTGATTTTGTCATCTGATCAAGATCTGCATTGAGTGTGAATCGTCCTTTAGCTTTCGTAACATCGGGTCCAAAGGTCACGATACAAGGACGGGGATGTTATTGCGCGCCGATCATTCCGAATCGGCTTCGAGAAGGAAAGGGGAGAAAGGGAGAATATCGCCTTTTTACCGCGTTAATTAATTGCGAATTTTGGTTTGCCCGCATATCGAGTCGCATACGATAATACGGCCGACCCTCCCATTAGAGCTTCAAAATAATTGAACTGGATTCCAGCGTGTCAAACATGCGCATGCGTGGACACGCCGTACCCGATTCTTTTCATTTCATTTCATTTCATTAGTCATCGACTGTTAATTTTGCCGATAAATAAATCCATACGAGCTTCGTCAGAATCTTTTCAAGGTCCTATAATCGTATGAAGTTAGCCCCCATTTTTCGAATTTTAAAATTTTAAAGGTTGTTCCAGGTTGTTCTAGACTTGTTCTAAATTGTTCCAAAAGATCAAATTTAAAAAATAAAAATTTTCGCGAAAAATGGAAAAAAACGATTTTTTGACCTGGCCCCCCATTTTTCGAAAATCGAACTTTTAAAGGTTGTTCCAGATTGTTCTAGTTGTTCTAAACATTGTTCCAAAGTGATAATTCCCTAAACAAAATATTTCACGAGATATAATAAAAAAATAGTTTCGTGCGCTAAAACAGTATTTTTACGTTTTCGGCTATAGTTATTATCTCTTAAACACCAAACTGTATATTTTAGCTAAAAACGAACAGAACAACCTGGAACAACTCTCAATTTTGCTAGAACATAATTTTAAAGAGTACTTTACTCTTGGAAATAAACATATTTTTGTTGTTTTTTCGTGTTTTTCGACCGATAACGACGTGACAGCGATCCCAAACTATAGAACAATTACGTACTGGCATAGAACAACTTGGAACAACTCTCAGTTTTGCTAGAACATTATTTTAAAGGGTACTTTACTCTTGGAAATAAACACATTTTTTTTGTTTTTTCATCTTTTTTGCCCGCTAAAGTCGCGATAGCGGTCCCAAACTATAGAACAATTACGTACTGGCATAGAACAACTTGGAACAACTCTCAGTTTTGCTGGAACATTATTTTAAAGAGTACTTTACTCTTGGAAATAAACACATTTTTTTTGTTTTTTCATCTTTTTTGCTCGCTAAAGTCGCGATAGCGGTCCCAAACTATAGAACAATTACGTACTGGCATAGAACAACTTGGAACAACTCTCAATTTTGCTAGAACATAATTTTAAAGAGTACTTTACTCTTGGAAATAAACACATTTTTCTTGTTTTTTTGTGTTTTTCGACCGATAACGACGTGACAGCGGTCCCAAACTATAGAACAATTACGTACTGGCATAGAACAACTTGGAACAACTCTCAGTTTTGCTAGAACAATATTTTAAAGGGTACTTTACTCTTGGAAATAAACACATTTTTTTTGTTTTTTCATTTTTTTGCTCGCTAAAGTCGCGATAGCAGTCCCAAACTATAGTACTCTTTAAAATTATGTTCTAGCAAAATTGAGAGTTGTTCCAAGTTGTTCTATGCCAGTACGTAATTGTTCTATAGTTTGGGACCGCTATCGCAACTTTAGCGAGAAAAAAGATGAAAAAACAAAAAAATGTGTTTATTTCCAAGAGTAAAGTACTCTTTAAAATAATGTTCCAGCAAAACTGAGAGTTGTTCCAAGTTGTTCTATGCCAGTACGTAATTGTTCTATAGTTTGGGACCGCTATCGCGACTTTAGCGGGCAAAAAAGATGAAAAAACAAAAAAAATGTGTTTATTTCCAAGAGTAAAGTACTCTTTAAAATAATGTTCCAGCAAAACTGAGAGTTGTTCCAAGTTGTTCTATGCCAGTACGTAATTGTTCTATAGTTTGGGACCGCTGTCGCGACGTTATCGGTCGAAAAACACAAAAAAACAAGAAAAATGTGTTTATTTCCAAGAGTAAAGTACTCTTTAAAATTATGTTCTAGCAAAATTGAGAGTTGTTCCAAGTTGTTCTATGCCAGTACGTAATTGTTCTATAGTTTGGGACCGCTATCGCGACTTTAGCGAGCAAAAAAGATGAAAAAACAAAAAAATGTGTTTATTTCCAAGAGTAAAGTACTCTTTAAAATAATGTTCTAGCAAAACTGAGAGTTGTTCCAAGTTGTTCTATGCCAGTACGTAATTGTTCTATAGTTTGGGACCGCTATCGCGACTTTAGCGGGCAAAAAAGATGAAAAAACAAAAAAAATGTGTTTATTTCCAAGAGTAAAGTACCTTTAAAATAATGTTCCAGCAAAACTGAGAGTTGTTCCAAGTTGTTCTATGCCAGTACGTAATTGTTCTATAGTTTGGGACCGCTATCGCGACTTTAGCGGGCAAAAAAGATGAAAAAACAAAAAAAATGTGTTTATTTCCAAGAGTAAAGTACTCTTTAAAATAATGTTCCAGCAAAACTGAGAGTTGTTCCAAGTTGTTCTATGCCAGTACGTAATTGTTCTATAGTTTGGGACCGCTGTCGCGACGTTATCGGTCGAAAAACACAAAAAAACAAGAAAAATGTGTTTATTTCCAAGAGTAAAGTACTCTTTAAAATTATGTTCTAGCAAAATTGAGAGTTGTTCCAAGTTGTTCTATGCCAGTACGTAATTGTTCTATAGTTTGGGACCGCTATCGCGACTTTAGCGAGCAAAAAAGATGAAAAAACAAAAAAAATGTGTTTATTTCCAAGAGTAAAGTACTCTTTAAAATAATGTTCCAGCAAAACTGAGAGTTGTTCCAAGTTGTTCTATGCCAGTACGTAATTGTTCTATAGTTTGGGACCGCTATCGCGACTTTAGCGGGCAAAAAAGATGAAAAACAAAAAAAATGTGTTTATTTCCAAGAGTAAAGTACCCTTTAAAATAATGTTCTAGCAAAACTGAGAGTTGTTCCAAGTTGTTCTATGCCAGTACGTAATTGTTCTATAGTTTGGGATCGCTGTCACGTCGTTATCGGTCGAAAAACACGAAAAAACAACAAAAATATGTTTATTTCCAAGAGTAAAGTACTCTTTAAAATTATGTTCTAGCAAAATTGAGAGTTGTTCCAGGTTGTTCTGTTCGTTTTTAGCTAAAATATACAGTTTGGTGTTTAAGAGATAATAACTATAGCCGAAAACGTAAAAATACTTTTAACGAAACTATTTTTTTATTATATCTCGTGAAATATTTTGTTTAGGGAATTATCACTTTGGAACAATGTTTAGAACAACTAGAACAAACAACCTTTAAAAGTTCGATTTTCGAAAAATGGGGGGCCAGGTCAAAAAATCGTTTTTTTCCATTTTTCGCGAAAAATTTTTATTTTTTAAATTTGATCTTTTTGAACAATTTAGAACAAGTCTAGAACAACCTGGAACAACCTTTAAAATTTTAAAATTCGAAAAATGGGGGGCTAACTTCATACAGGCTATAATTTAATCCCAAAGTGATTGCGCGGAGACGACATACTAGTTCATGTGCATACATTTTTTTCATTTTTTTTCTATGTTAAGAATCATTCCACAAGTTGATACACATATATTTAAATAATTAATATGCTTAACAGATGTCTTCATATTTTAATTTGACCTTTAAAAATGAGTGGCAGATGTCCCATTAAACAGCGCAACCACTCTAGGATTTTTTAAAGCAAATTTACGTCATTTTGACGTCTAATGACGTCAGTTTGCTACTTAGGGTCAAGATCCCAAGTCTTCTTTGATCGAGCGGGATCATCAGATTAATTATAATAATAGTAATGTCAAAGAAAGGTGATAATCACTGATAAGAGCGACTTACCGGTGTCCCTGGTACGAAGTCTTGACGAGTTTCACCGCGAAAAGGAACTGTATGGCGCAGACGAGGAGACAGCACAGGTTGAGGGACAGGGCCAGGGCGCACAGAGCCAGAGTGACCTCGTAGACGATGACGAACTCTTCCGGGCTGATGAGACTGTTGGACGTGACCGTGAGCGGGGAGATCTTCAGCAGGAAGATAACCGAGAGCAGGGCCAGGAGCAGAGACACCAGACACAACAGTCCCAAACTGGTCAGCATCTCCTTCACACCCGCCTCATCGTTCCGATGAAGATTCCTGGACAGAGACGAGGACCAGGAGGCGTTGAGGGGTATCACCGTCGGCCCACCTGGCCGGCGACGGCAGGAAGCGCAGGTGCGGCAGGTGCGGGCGATGGCGTGGTCTGGCTCGGCAGCCGCGACAGCCTGGAGATGTCGAGGCCGCCGTTCGCCTTCGGCCGATCGTGATGGAGGACGTTGGTCTGCGAGATCACGGTGTGACCGAGCTGACTCGCAACCGAGACGTTGTGATTGTTGTGATGATTGTTGTTGTTGTTGTTGTTGATAATGTTAGCGCCATTGTTACCATTCGCACCACCCACCGGACTAACGCTGTTGACCGAGTGCTTGGACGTGGACAACGTCGACACGTTGAGCGTGTGCGAGTTCAGGCGTTGCGACAAGTTATTGACGCTCAGCTGGGAGTGATTCAGGGGATGCCGATGCGTCGACGAGGGCGTCGTCGCCGATTGGTGAGCGTTCGACCTCTGCGCCACCGAATCGCACACGTCGATGCCGTTGTTTCCGCGATGTCCGCGCGCGGTCCCGGCGCTTCCGGTGTAATGATGATGATGGTGATGTTGCGACGGCTGCTGTTGCTGTGGCTGCTGTTCCTGGTGCAGCGAGTTGTTGTGCAAGTGGTGATGATGGTGCCCGCCGTGCAACGAGCCCGAGCTTGTTTGATAATCATTGTGATGATGCCTGGAGCCCGTTGACGACGGCTGCCCCGTCAAGATGTGCTTCAGCATTACTCGACACTCGCTGTTGGTGTCACGCGAGGGGTGAGGCTTCTCTTATGTCTTTCCGATGCCGATATTGTTCTTACATGACGGAAGGGGCTGTCGAATTACACCGAGTTGTGTGGCACGTGAATTGTCAACTTTCACCTTCCTCAGATCAGATCCGTCATGTCGGAGGATGTCGCTACTTTCCTCATTGCGTCTAATAGCAACAAAATCTAATTATTATCTTCAAATTCCAAGTCACACGTGACACATTGACCCGATCCTTTTCGAGAGTATCACTTCTCTCTTCATCACTAACGTTTCACAATAAGATATATCACTACAAAGTTATATCAAAGTCTTCTAACACGCGATTCGTTTCGATCACAATATCTAGGCCCGATTTCAACTTTCGTTATCTTTAGGCAAATCCAAAGTGGTACATCACTTATCGAAACCCGATCCTTTTCAAGAGTATCACTTTTCTCTTCATCACTAATGTTTTATAATAAGATATATCACTACAAAATTATATCAGAGTCGTCTCCTAACACGCGATTCGTTTCGATCACAGTATCCAGGCCTGATTTCAACCTTTCTTACCTTTAGGCCAATCCAAAGTGGTGCATCACTTATCGGGATCGGCTCTCGGGCCGAAGATACGTCCTCATTGTCTTCCGCGATCGATTCTTGACAACTAGAAGCACGAAATCAGGATTTACGAGGGATCGTTAGGTTCCCGGGCTCAGCGAGTTGCTGCACACCAGTTGTTCCACCATGGCGACGACGACATCCACCGGGCAGCGCGGAACTATGCGACGACCAGGTTCGCTGAGGTCATGAAGGGAGAACTCTCTCGTTCTCTTTTTTCCTTAGAACGAGTGCGTGCGTTAAGGCGGCTGCAAGCTCGGTTTTCTACCACCTCGGTCTCTTCGGATACGCGCGAGCTCGTCAGCCGGCATGGCTCCCGAGATGGTGCCGGCGGTGCCTCTGGAACAGGTCGGAGGAAATAATTAATGGACTGACTGTTCACTCTCTGTCGGTTGGAATAGTCGGACCGTAAAAAGAAGGATAGATACGGGGTATAATCTACCCGGAGTGCGCCGGCAGAAAACGTTTCTTTCTCTCTTTTTCTCGGCTTTTCTGCTTTGCGCGAGACGAAACGGAATTGATCACATCAAACAAAATAAAAAGAAATTACGTGACTTCGGTAGGAAGGAAAAGCATAACAAATTGGCTGAATCTATCCAATTGGAAGCATAATACATTATGTAATTTTTACAATTTTCATTTAATATTGGGAAATTTTACTCAAGTAGCAAACTGACGTCATTAAACGTCAAAATGACGTTATTTAAAATGATGTCACGATGACTGAAGTCAATAAGCGTCAAAATGATGTAATTTTAAATGACATCATTAGACGTCAAAATTCATTTTGCTACTTGAATAAAAGCTCCAATATTAAGTAAAAATTGTAAAAATTATATATTAAATGTATTATGAATGACATCGTTTTGACGTCGACTGACGTCATTAGATGTCGAATGACGTTATTAGACGTCAAGATGCCGTCATTTTGACATTTAATGACGTCATTTTGCTATTTGGGTGAAAATTCCTGATATTAAGTGGGAATTGCAAAAATTATATAATGTATTATAATTAAAAAGATTATATAATAAATGTATTATAATTTTTATATAATAAAATTTATATTAGTACATAGTATATTTTTATATGATAAATCGTGAGATATAATTTCTGGAGAGTTTTTTCTTCAAAAATATTATTCATTCCTTGTATTCTCCGTGCATGAAACCCGAAAGCGTGTTAAGTGCACTATCAAGATTGGAAACCCCGAGGAGAATCCAGCGGCGTAATTAGAAAGATCGCACGGAGGTGCGCGCAACACTTATGTGTTAGGCATCAGACGATGACCTTTGAAGCTGCGCAACTCGTGGAAAAGCCGCGATGCGAGAAATCACGAAGAGACAAATTGCCGGTCAAATTACAGCGAGATAAGTAGAATCGCAGCGAGGAAAACTGGGCAATCCAGTCTGGGCAGACAATCGTGTCGATACACTTTGTTCACCGTGTGTATTGTTATTATCACTTTCAACGAGTACCTTATACAGAATAGACTCTCTCTCTCCTGGGTATGCTCGTTCATAGATTGTTCATACATATCCTCTCACTCGGCACGAGCGGGTCACGCGAGCTCGTCTCTTTACTATCTAACGGAATGTATGTAGAGTTATCTACGATTCCCTCTGTATTTTAAAACTGCAATTAGAGATCAAATGAGCGGATGCATTATTCAGCATTAAAAAATTGTTCAATTATTTGTTATTTTTATTATACAACATTTATGCATAATTATTCATGTATTAATTATATATTAGATAGTATAATTATTTATGTAAATAATTATTATATACCTATAATTACATATACGTAATTAAAAAAAAATTTTTTTTAATGAATAATCTCTCCTAAATTAAATCAATTGAACTTCACACAAGTCAAGCTTTATTCAAGCATGCTGTAAGAAATTTAATTTAAAAAAATTTAAATTGAAACTGAAATCTAATTTAATTAAAATTAACATTTTATTTAAATATATATGTATCTTTAATTGTATTAAACTTTTTTGGTGTATAGATATTTAGAACCAATTTTCATTGAAAGCGTAAAATTAATGGATTATTCTCGCATATTTTAATTTTTTAATTAATTAAATAATTAAATTAAAATTTAAAAAAAATTATCTAAAAAAAATTATAATTATCTAAATATTTAATTCACTAAAAGTTAAAATATACGAGAAAATTATTAATTTGAAGTTTTAAAATTGATTCGAACGTGTCAAAGAAATATTTATTGATACTTTAAGAATTTTTATTTAAAATTTAAATTAAAACAAAAAAATCATTATATCTATTTTGTATATACATATATAATTTTACGATGTAATTATGATAATAGGTACATATGTATATGCAAGCCATCATTTGACATCTTGTTAGAATTCCAATCATGCATTAACAAAGAAGAAATCGAAGCTAAGAAAAAATTGACAATAAAAGTATGGAAACAAAAAAAAAAGAAAAAAGATTCGTGTCAATCCATTGCACGATTAACTGGATGATATGTACACTTTATTGAGCTTGCCGTTATATTGCGAACATGAAGAGACTGTCATTTCGGATCGATGAACTCGATTGCGATGTCTAACCGCGTCACTCATGTGTCGCGTGAAAAATGCAGTCGCGAAGAGTGATTTTTTTCTATTCTTTGTAAAAAATATTTTTTGTGGAATATATTTCTTTTGCACGCTGTGCTTTTCGAAACAAAGGACACTGGACTTATTCTTATTGGAATCGAGCTCCATATGCTTCTGCTATATGGAAATGGAACACCTTTTCCGCAATTTATTCCGTGCAAATGTGACATAGTTTTTTACCACTGATGATCTTGGGAGGAGGAAATTTAAAAAGATTTTCATTGTCTTCCAAATTAAAAAATCAGTTTTGTTGATTTCATGGTTTAACGTCGTCTGTCAAGATATATTTTAGATTTGAAATGATTAATAAGAGTTCGAGTCATTTAAAAATAAAGAAACAAATGTTTAAGTATATAAAAAATAAAGTAAAATATAGAAAATAAAAAGAAATATAAAAATAAATGAAAAAATTTTTAAATAAACGAAAAAAATTAGGTCAGTAGTTTTACGAAGAATTTTTTTATATTCTCAACATTGATCTTGGAATAAAAGCTAAGAATGATATACTAGAGAAGAATGATATATCAAATCAAATAATTTTACCAAATTTTCTTCCTCTCCTCATTATCAGGATCCATTAGTGCTTTCGAATATTATTTATCCTGTCAATCTCGTTAGCGCGATTTATGTCTATATTTTGTTTCTAATTTCTTTATCGATTTTTATTTCATCTCGAAAATATGATTGATTCGATGACTGTTCATGTATTTCTTTGCGATACCGTTATAAACTTCCTTTATGATACTCGATTTACGATTTGCGTTTCGATCGTTCATATCACAGATAAATATAATTTTCACATTATAGTGTGTAAACTTTTCGATAAAAAATAACATCGATTTTCAGTTTACACAAGCTATAATATAAAAATTATGTATTTATTCTACATTGCTTTATTTTATGAGATTCATAAATGTCAATGTTTATATAAATATTTTTTGTTTACTTTTAATGTATAAATTATCTACATAATTTTTTCCACATAAAAATATATATGAAATCATTATAAATTAACTTTCGATAAATTCCTTCCCGTGTTTATTCTAAAATAAAATCAGTTCGAAAGCTTGAATCAATAATTTTTTTTATTCTTGCATCTGTGTATGTAAAATAAAATCTGAGATTATATCCACCGTCCGTGAACCAATTACACGTTAAACGCTCTCGTCTACGTGCATCTCGTCGTCACGGTACCCTGCATCTCGGCGATCGACGGCGATGATCTTCGCGGCGCGTAACGTGATTCGATCCCACACATTCCTCTCTGTCTCTTTCTGTTGCGCGCGAGATACACCGGATCGCGTGCTACGATCCAGAACCGCAAGATTGGCTATCGTGGGCCGCGGGCAGCTCTCCCTCTCTCTACCTCTTTCCTTCCCTGTTGTCAATAGTCAGGCTTGACTCATAGAAACGGGTTCCGCTCGCATTCCGGACGTCCAGCCTGCCACTCACGACGGAAAGCGCATCTCCGCATTGATATCTGCGCGCGTGTAAACTCACGTGATGACCAGAATTGGGATTCCGATAGAATTCCCTATTGGACAATCGCGTATATTCGCATATATATAAACAGTTTAATTATAAGGACAAAAGACACCAATTCAATATTTATTATTTTTTATTATATATTTATAATTATTATATATTTTATTATTTAATTATTATTTAATTATATTAATATTTAATATATTAATATATGTATAATATATTAATATATTAATATGTATAAATAATATTAATATATTAATATATAATATATTAATATATATTCAATGTATATATGTATAATATCTTCTGAATATTCTTTATATCTCCTCTATTCCTATCCCTATCTTCCGTTCTACTTATTTCGTTTTCTTCATCTTTTCTTATTATTCTATTATTCATTTTATTATATATATTGTATCCTTTGTTGTTTTTTGGTGTCACACTTACGGTTTTATGAGACGCGCAATATTGAGTGTTTAAAAGCGCATTCAACGAAATTATAATATTGTATGGGATTACGTATATGTGTGAGGTTTCTCTCTGGCTGTGCGAGCGAAGTCCTATATGCTCTCATCGCTCTTATCTAATTTCACGACTTCGTCGTCTTCCGTTGCGGTCGCGGCATCGTTTTCTTCCCCCTTTTTCCCATAGACATTTGTGGCCGACGACCGCACGAGCTCCTCTCTGGCGATCGATATTTACGGGATAAATAGATCCCACAAATGCGAATAACGCATATTCTATGTGTATATTCTTATGTTATTTCCTATTTATTGAACGTGCATGAATTCATTATTGCGGATGTATTTCCTTAGATTTTTCCGTCACCGATTGATCGACTGGTTATTGAATTTAAAATCTATGGTTTGAATTTAGGTTTCAACATCTGTTCGATTTAGTCTCGTTTTCTATAAATCTAATTACAAGATAAATCGATTCTTTATACATATAAATAATTATGCAGCATTATTTCGATTTGTAATTATATTTCGTATATGATTCGATAAGAAAATATTAAAAATATTTAAAAAATTAAAAAAAGTAAAAATAAGATCAAAAATTTCGTCATTGAGTCTGAAATTAAGTGAGAAAAATTTTTAAAAATCAAAACCAAATAATTTCATCAAATCTCTTCATCATCCCCTCTATAATTTATCGACGTCAGGAGTCACTAGTGCTTGATACAGCTTGTAAATGTTCAAATAATTATTT